ATAATATATAATATGCACACCTTTATATATATTATTTATTATAATATATATCGTGGTTGGTTTATTTATTTATTTGTTTATATTAAGTTTAGGAGCCATTGATAGAGATTATACATAGGTTGGGGGGGGTGTATAAAAAAATACAAATCTCACCTCCCAGCGAAGGCCGTAAGGCAGCGCAGCGGGGCCGTGCCGGTGGCAGGAGGGATGCTCGGGCACTGCCCTCCACGGCGCGGCCTCTGAAGGGGCCGTTGAAGCTCCTCCGCCTCCCTCTTCTCTGTGCAGAAGTCTTGGGGCACTTGTGGTTATTTTCCTTCTCTTCTCTTTGCTTCAGGCCTGAGGTTTATGGGCTCTGCAGGGAGAATTAGCCGTGCCCTGTCCCCTTAAAATGCACCCAAGCCAGTCTGGCCTTTTAATCATTTTTACAGATCGTTACATCTTGGGAGAATAGTAAAAACCTTCATTAATCCTCCGAAGCCATCTGGAAAGGAAAGCAGTTTGTGCTGTTCACCATTTTGCCCTTCACACGCGGTTCCCTCCCCGGGCAGCGATGAGCGCGGGCGGGGAGCAGGTGAGGAGTGCAGAGGGACGGCGCCTGAGACCCCCCCAAATCCACAGGGGCTCTGGGCTCCCGGGGATGCTTTGCCCTGCAGAGAGGGGCTGCGTTCCCGTCCGGCTGCTCCGGGCTCCAATTTGAATGAAAATTAGCTTCCCCCACAGGAAAAAAGAATTTGTTTCATTATTCTTTGCAAACTTTGGGGATACGTCCCCCCCAAGGACAAGTGGGCATAGGGGAAGCGTTAGTCTCTTACTCTTTTTCCAACAAACCCGAGGAGGGATGGACTGAACATCAATACTGGCAGCCGGTTTTGGCAAGGGCTGTCACGCTGGGGAGCCGGGAACAGCTACCAACCAGCAAAGCCACGCGGGGTTTTCTGATGTGTGACTTTAATTACAACACATTGCGAATATTGCTTAATTAGCCAAGCAATCCATTGGAGAAGAGTACTTCTCTTGACCATGTAAGTATCAAACTGCTTCATCTCTCATCTCCCAATTTGATATTTAAATAGCTCATACTCCAGCATTTATTCAAAACACCACTTTTCCAGAGGTCAAGCTGGTACTGCTTGCTTAAAATATGCTATGGTTATGATTTAAGGCAGTTTCATTTTTAATAGGGTTTAATGTCTTTGAAATATAGTAAAGCAGAGATGCTCGATAGACCAACAGGAAACCTCAAGCCTAGTACGATTTTTAAATGAGCTATTTGAGCAAATGTGCGAACTACGCTGAATTCACGGCAGGACTGTTGAATTAAGATGCTCTCAGAGTAATCGGTTTGTGCTGTTTTTCACAAGCGTTGGAGATTGTAAAGGTTTCAAGCTCGTGTCCTTAAAAATCCTCCCTCCAAGTGGACTTCGACCCTGACAACAATTTTGGGTAACATAAAGCGTAGTTGCTAATATTTTACCACCTCCACAGAAGTTGCCTTAAAAGATGCAGTTTTGTGGGCTGTTCCTTACAAGAGTCTACTATAGTACTAAATTTTATACTTGTCTCCCTCCAAAGATTTCAGTAGTTCAATAAATTGCACAAGGAGGCTTCAATGTAATTACATAATTAAATCAACCACCACCATGTTCTTAGGAGATTTGCCTTATTAGCAGAGAAAAACAGCACTTTTTTTGTTCCCTTGCTGTCTTCCCGAAGTTCCTAAGTACCTTCAGAATAATTTCTTTAAAGTAACTGACTTCCTAGGAAAAAAAAAAAAGCAGCTGGAAAGTTAACTATATGAAGGCATAAAATGCTGATTTTCTGTGGCACTGCTCTGGTATTACTGCCATCTACTGTTGCAAAATGATATCCGAGGAAAATGAAATCCAAGCCATTTTATTAGTTACCATGGTTTTGTAGGAAAACTTAAACCTGCAATAAAATTTATACACGCAAGAAATGCTCTCAGTTAGAGCTACTTTTTTGTGTTTTTAAAAGCACACCAAAAAAGCCAGGGACGGTAAGACATGTTCATTAAGAGCAGCCAGGAACAGCACCGCTTCAAAAACCCGTCTTCCACAGCACTACTTGACGGCTACCGTCCAGACTACAAACTCTTCACTGAGCCCGCTATGAGTTATTTGGTACTACATGCCAACAACTCCCTCCTTGTCTCGCTTTCCTTCCCCCATGAGTTTTAACTAATAGTCAACCCCCTTCTCATATCTTCCAAAATGTTATCGATGTATTTCTTTATTAATTTTGAAGGGTCAAATTGTTTAGAATTTCCTTTTGAACTGAATGCAGAGTGCATTTTTAATGTGGATCTGTTCAGATAGAAGAACTCTAAGGCTAATTACCACAGAAGCAACACAGGGAAGATCCTGGCCTGACAGCAGTAGGGACGTTAAGACTTCTTCCCAAAATAATCCTACTGAGTTAAACAGAATGCCTGCAAATCAGAGAGGAGGTGAATGCCTCTGGGTCTGACTGCTGTGAGTTAGGGGAAAAGGTGCGGGGAGAAATACTGAAGGCAAACCGTCGCTTTCTCGAGAGCGTTAGCACTCCGAAGGTGACAGAGCCACAGGACTTCGCTCAGGTTCACTCTGTTTAGGCAAACTCACACCATCACCTCAATTCTGCTTGTGCATCACTGGGAAAGAAAAAGGAAAGAAAGCCTGAGTCAGCTACCAGACACGGCGGGGGGAAAGGCAGGGAACCTGGATCTCCCTTCCCTTCTACTATTAACATGAATAGCACGTTTCACACACGAAGTTGAAAACATACTGTAGAACCCTTGGCCAGTTTTCTATGGATTTAGTTACTCAGTGATAAACAAGTTACTGATAAACCACTGAAGAGAGAAGAAGTTCATGACGCTGACTCAGCTAAGTCATCCTTTTAATCTAAAATTGGTTCTGGAATTATGGAAAATAAAAATCTTTTAAGAAAACAGACTTGTTTTACACAGTAAGACTGTTTGGGAACTGCTGGAGTGAGTATTTCAATCGGGTATCTAGCTTTAACTACAAAAAGATTTAGAGCTCATTACTTCTAGACACTTCATCACGCTCCTAGGCACAAAAAACCCCCATGATTTTATCTAGAGGATAGAAACACCTTTTTTCGGTTGGTGGTTTTTTTCCTTTTAGATGTAGCAAAGTCAGAATGAGAAAAATCTTGTTATCACCTCTAATGCCCGGAGTCAAGATAAAGTAGTTAAATATTTATCATTAAAATACAATAAAAAGAGGTAGAGACCGTGGAATTTGGCAAATAACCTTTTACATTACTACAAAATTAAACTTCTCCTTGCAAAAATTACGAATTAGTAACAGGAGAACCGTGCTGTCTGAAGATCTTAAATATGACAAATGCTATATTGGCTGCGACAACACTGAGGGAATTATTTACTGGTGTCTCAGTTACACTTAGAACAGGGCACAAACAGTTCTCTACTATTATTCAATTTTACAACTTCTTCAGGCAACTTAACAGTTCTTCCTTATCCATGTGGTATCCACTCTTCTTCCATTCATCCCTTAACTGCTGTAACGCTGTTCCAATTTCTTTTCCAGAAGACACACCCATTTTTCTTAAATCATGGCCACTAACAGGAAAAGATGGAACAGTCCATTGCTGCATTTCTCTTAAAAGATGTTCTTCTCCTTGGTATTTTAGAAGCTCACAGATCTTGGAATTTGTATTAGCTTCTCTAGACTAAAAGAAAAAAAAGGGAAGAGAGGATTCACTATGACACAGTAGAAAACAGCTCAACCTGTGCTCAATATTGTGTTATTCCCATGACATCTTATTAAGCAACATCTGGATGAGTTGGAACTATGAAAGCGAGGATTTCTTCTGCCTCACAAGTTTTTAAAACTCAGTCCTAACTTGGAGGCTCTGGGAGATCCTTGGAGACTTCTTGAATCCCAGGTAATAGCTGTAACCATTATCTTCAACCTCCAACTGGAGAGGAACTATTACCTGTCCTGCGGGAGACAGGCCTCACGGCAGAAACTGCTGTCTCTCGCCTTCAGTCTCAGGTTCTGCAATAGAAGTGCAGAACTTCACCTCAAAATTACTTGAACTTTGCTGTGGAAGAACGTCACAGGTTGCCTACTGAACAGTACTCCTCACGAAGAACACGTACCGATGCTCCAGGAATTGCACCGATTTTCAATACACAATTCAAGGAGTTGAATTTCACATAAAAAAGCTGGAGTCTCTTGAGGTCCGGATCCTGTCTCATGTTTTAGTGCATAAAGGGAGATCAGCTGGGACAGTACAGCAAACTGTCAGTCCCCAGGTACGTTCACAGGAAACTTCTGTTTCAGATGATTGAATATGACATTCTTCAGCCTGACTGAAAGGTAGGCTTTTAAATCTGGTCAAAAAGTTGCTACAGAACACAAGGTGCTCAGAACTGCTAAAAATGTGGTGGGTTTTTTTTTTTTGTTTGAAATAATTTCTAAGAAATTAATTTAAAGCCTCGGTATTTTGGATGGGAAAGAAAAAAGCTTTTGAACCCAAGCAGAAATGTCTGCTATTTATCCTCTTGCAAAACTAAACTCTACTAATGGAAAAGAATCTTTTTATATCTGTTTTGTAACAGATATAAAGTTATATCTGTTATAAAGATATAAAGTTTCTGCTTTATGTTGCAGAGACATGCCAGGACATTCGCAATAGCTCCTGTTAGTTTCTGGTCCCCTCTCCAGAGGGAAAACAAAGGGGAGAAACAAACCAAGCAACCACCCCCACCTTAGTTAACTGGAACTGATATCAGTAATACAGAAGGATATTCTTCCAGTCACTGTGACGATACTACACTGGGAGCAATCCAAATTTGGCTATTACTTTTTGTCAGTACATCCCATCTTTCTGATGAAAATATCACGGTCTTTAAAACCTTGGCAAAAATTTGCCTAAGACCAATAAACAAGCCTGCTGATGAATCACAGAATCATTGAGGTTGGAAAAAACCTCTAAGATCATCGAGTCCAACCGTCACCCCAACACCACCATGCCCACTAAACCATGTCCCTCAGCGCCTCATCTACTCGTCTTTTAGATACCTCCAGGGGTGGGGACTCAACCACTTCCCTGGGCAGCCTGTTCCAATGTTTAACCACTCTTTCAGTAAAGACATTTTTCCTCACGTCCAATCTAAACCTCCCCTGGCACAACTTAAGGCCATTTCCTCTCGTCCTATCGCTTGTTACTTGGGAGAAGAGACCGACCCCCCCCTCGCTACAGCCTCCTTTCAGGTAGTTGTAGAGAGCGATGAGGTCTCCCCTCAGCCTCCTTTTCTCCAGGCTAAACAACCCCAGTTCCCTCAGCCGCTCCTCATCAGACTTGTTTTCCAGACCCCTCACCAGCCTCGTTGCCCTTCTCTGGACACGCTCCAGCACCTCAACGTCCTTCTTGTAGTGAGGGGCCCAAAACTGAACACAGTATTCGAAACGGCGCTTACTTGACTCTTTAAGGCCCTTTCTTTCCACTAGGCATTGTCATCTCTGCTACTGCGTCAAACTGGAAATTCAGTTTACTGTGAAGAACCAAATAAAGCAACATGAAATACACTTACGTCCATTATGAAGTCCTGATATGGTCTAAGTGGTTCTGGACCCACAGCTTTTGTTAACTCTTGCCGGTGCTTCACTAAAAAAAGGCCAAGGTTTTTTTCTTCTTTTGAGATTTTCAGCCTCAGATCAAGGTTTGTGACATCATCCTTCACCTTGAACAGTGATGTCAGAACAGTCATCGGTTTTGGACACAGATTTTGAATATTTTTAGTGACTCTGTCAAATTCCTCTAAACTTCCATCCAGTGGTAGTCCTAAAGGGATACACACAAAAAAGTGCAAGAAAGAGTGTTAGTAAGAAATGTGGATGTTAACACTTGGCGGGGAACGAACTAATTTCTTTCTGGGTAAAAAGTTTTATCTCACTTTGCCATGCTGCAGTTCTGTTTGTATATGATACAGGAGTAGGAAATCAACCTTCATTTCACTTTACCTATGTATTGGGCAATATCCAGCTCATACGTAAGTCGAACCAAATGATTTACATGGTTTCCAAGAAGAATTTTTTTCAGTTCCACCCAAATCCTTTCTCCTGATATTGCAGCCAAACCTTTAGCATTTTCTTTAATTGCTTGCAGCGTACTAGGTTCATGATCACCAGGTTTTTCTGCGATTCTTCCATAAAACCTGCCAAAATAAAACCTCTGTATGTTAGATTGAGAACAATTATTCCACTTATTACTGCTATTCAGAGAATCAATGTCATGACAGTGTTAAATATTCTGATTTATGATACCAGAGGAAACTTAACAATATGACAGTTACCACTCTTTTTACATCACTGATCTCTTTTTGCATGTTTCTGAAACCTTCTAAAATGCTTACTTCATTTCTTTATCTAGGAAAGGCAAAACCTAGTACCTGAAATATCTCAGGATTCGTAAATAATCTTCTTGTATTCTCTCAGTTGCCTTTCCTACAAATCTAATTTTCTTGTTTTTCAAGTCTTCATATCCATTAAAAAAATCATACAGCATCCCATCCAAACCTAGAAAGAGAAGAAAAAAAAATAAAAGAATATGAATTTACAAACACGTCTGGCACAATTAAACACTCTCATTTGAAAATACAAAAGACAAGTTGTGTGGTTTGACCTGGTTTGTCAGATCATCTCACATATTTGTATAGACCTTTCAGCTGATAGCAGTACAAACAAACAAAATTGAAACAGACTGAGAGAATTTACTGGCTTAATTTGAAAAGCGGTGTTTCAGCTAAATATTTGCTTTTGAAAGAACTTACCTAAAAACATGGAATTGACAGTCAGATCCCTCCTTTCAGCATCTTTTTCCCAGTCAGTGGTGAATTCAACCTCCGCATGTCGTCCATCGGTGACAACATCTATTCTAAGAGTAGTAATTTCAAAATTCTGTTCATGGAGCTGAAAATCCCACAGACATTGTTACTTCAACACAATCACGAATATAAATGTAAAAGCTGTATATTTTTTCAGCCTCATGTTTGTATACAGTTAGTGCTCAAGCTGGATACATGCAAACCAACATGTACCATGTTTTTCTACAGAGCAGACAATCAAGAAATACCAACACCTGAAAATGATCTTTGCATTATTCATCTTCTAGATAGCCTGCAGAAATCTTCCTGCAGAAGATGGAATAAGAAGCAGAGGAACGAGCAAGGCAGAGGAAGCAAGACTTGGGAAATCAGGAGCAGGAAACACTGGGATCAGCTTCCCCACTTTATCTGAACATGTGGGTGGCCTACATTATCTTTTCTAGTGACGACACAGCAGCATGAACGGGTTATGCAGAGGTAAGGTGCATTAAAATACAGTAATTAATTGAATTCTACAAACAAAGTAATCAAAAAATCACTCCATACTTTAAAGCAGGGTCTCATTTAAACTTAGTGCAATGCTTTAACAAAGAAGGAGCACGCTACCAGTTTTCTCTTGGATATGCTGCACATTCACAGATACAGTTAGAAAAGATCCAAGTCAAAACATAAACCAACCCGGGCAGTAATGGTTCCATGTTTTTCTCCTTTGTTATTGATCAGACGAACACCAGCAGATGTGAACATTTCCTTCATCTCTGCTGGTGTAGCTGTAGTGGCAAAATCTATATCTTGTGGTGTCATTCCACTTAGTAAATCCCTCACAGCACCTCCTGCTATTCTCAGCTCGTAGTTCTTCTTCTCAAACAATTCTGGGAAGAAAAACCATAAAGCACTCTCTCAAACAAAAACATAGCGCGCTGTCAGCCATAACCTACCTTTTCACAAATTAAGATCATAGATGTGGGAATACATACTCAAATACGCAGTAAGCAGCAAGTATGTACGTACCTCACAGCTTCATGGAAAATGCACAGATTAGGTACACAGCTGAGCACCCACATGTATTTTCCCAGTCATTTCTGATATATTAACAGGTTGCTAATTGATACTGGGGGACTCTGGGCTGTGGAACATTTTTAGCAGTTAGTAGCTGACAAGGGAAAACCGCTTACTTTACTTATGGCAGAGCACAGCGAACCGTGAATCCAAATTTCTTCAGGAACGACACCCCACGACGGCTGATGAAAACCGAGCTCCGCCATGTCCTTTGACTCATTTTAAAGTTACAGTGGCTAGACGTGAAGAGCAGCACGCACCTCCCAGAACACAACAGCTACCCAGGCTGCCCTTTAGCACCCGCGACCGGGCCACAAAAGCCCCTGGCCTTCTCCCTCGTAAGGGGATCAGGGGCTGCGCCTACAGCGTTGTAAGGGGATCAGGGGCTGCGCCTACAGCGGGGACAGGACGCAAGGTGCAAAGCCTGCGTTCGCCGCCCTGGCTCTCCAGGCCGGCGTTTTTGGTCCTCCTCACGCCACAGCAAGCGGGGACACTTTCGGAGCCGCGGCTCAGCTCCGCGGAGGCCCAGGCCCTGACACCCCCGGGCCGGGCCGGGTCGGGCCGGGCCGTACTCACCTGCCAAGCTGCGGAGCCCCGGCGTGAAGAGCGCCTGGAACTGGGGGGACTGCAGCTTCATAGCGCCCGGCGCTCGGTGCCGCAGCCGGA